CACTTGCGGCACCACACTGGGCAGATGGAATGTACTAAAGTCAGATCTGACGCTGAATAGGTTTAGTTGGCCTGTGTCATGTTCTGCCGGCATGTATGTCCCGGGTCTCCTATCGCTGTATACTGTGTGTCCATGCGTCACAGATATACATACACAGAGTGCGCTCAGCCTTCCGCCATATTCACCGACATCCTCTTCCTTCTCTCACTTAGATTTTTGTTGTTGTTGTTTTCTGTGGAATTGATAACTTTCTAATTTTATAGCTCAGCGACTCCTGGTAACAATGGACCTCAGACCCAGAATCCAGAATCGCTTGACATTGTCCGCCCCGCCCCCTCCCTCCCCCCCCATACACTGCGATCGGTACGGAGAAGTCGCAGAATTTCGGGACATTTCTGTCTTTTGGTGTAAAAATGTTTCTGATGTTAAAATGCAAAAAAAAAAGATTTCAGACAATCGCTCTGTATTCTATGGGCCGCATACAATTCGCTTAATGTAGCTGCGACAAATCGCTTCTCAGAGACAAAAAAAACGCCGTTAAATTCGACGCCAACAAATAGCTGACATTGTGCGCTTTGTAGCAGCGATTATCCTCCGACACAATGTCACCCGTCTGACCCTCTGGAGTCCGCACTTCCGGGAGTCTCATTGACTACAAAAGACTGTAACCACTTTGTATCCAATTCATCATTCAAATATCTTTTTTTTTTGCATTTTAACATCAGAAACATTTTTACACCAAAAGACAGAAATGTCCCGAAATTCTGCGACTTCTCCGTACCGATCGCAGTGTATGGGGGGGGAGGGAGGGGGCGGGGCGGACAATGTCAAGCGATTCTGGATTCTGGGTCTGAGGTCCATTGTTATCAGGAAAGGAGACACAGACATGTTCTGTAACCCAACAATCTGCGTCTGGGGACATCCGCTTCACACATGTAATGTATGTATGTATGTAATGTATGTATGTATGTAATGTATGTATGTATGTAATGTATGTATGTAATGTATGTATGTATGTATGTATGTATGTATGTATGTAATGTATGTATGTATGTATGTATGTAAGTAATGTATGTAATGTAGTAATGTTTGTAAGTAATGTATGTATGTAATGTATGTATGTATGTATGTAATGTATGTATGTAATGTATGTATGTATGTAATGTATGTATGTATGTATGTATGTAATGTATGTATGTAATGTATGTATGTATGTAATGTATGTATGTAATGTATGTATGTATGTATGTATGTATGTATGTAATGTATGTATGTATGTAATGTATGTATGTATGTAATGTATGTATGTAATGTATGTATGTATGTATGTATGTATGTATGTATGTAATGTATGTATGTATGTATGTATGTATGTAATGTATGTATGTAATGTATGTATGTATGTAATGTATGTATGTATGTAATGTATGTATGTATGTAATGTATGTATGTAATGTATGTATGTATGTATGTATGTATGTATGTATGTAATGTATGTATGTATGTATGTATGTATGTAATGTATGTATGTAATGTATGTATGTATGTAATGTATGTATGTATGTAATGTATGTATGTATGTAATGTATGTATGTAATGTATGTATGTATGTATGTATGTATGTATGTATGTAATGTATGTATGTATGTATGTATGTATGTAATGTATGTATGTAATGTATGTATGTATGTAATGTATGTATGTATGTAATGTATGTATGTATGTAATGTATGTATGTAATGTATGTATGTATGTATGTATGTATGTATGTATGTAATGTATGTATGTATGTATGTATGTATGTAATGTATGTATGTAATGTATGTATGTATGTAATGTATGTATGTATGTAATGTATGTATGTATGTAATGTATGTATGTAATGTATGTATGTATGTATGTATGTATGTATGTATGTAATGTATGTATGTATGTATGTATGTATGTAATGTATGTATGTAATGTATGTATGTATGTAATGTATGTATGTATGTAATGTATGTATGTATGTAATGTATGTATGTAATGTATGTATGTATGTATGTATGTATGTATGTATGTAATGTATGTATGTATGTATGTATGTATGTAATGTATGTATGTAATGTATGTATGTATGTAATGTATGTATGTATGTAATGTATGTATGTATGTAATGTATGTATGTAATGTATGTATGTATGTATGTATGTATGTATGTATGTAATGTATGTATGTATGTATGTATGTAATGTATGTATGTAATGTATGTATGTATGTAATGTATGTATGTAATGTATGTATGTATGTATGTATGTATGTATGTAATGTATGTATGTATGTAATGTATGTATGTAATGTATGTATGTAATGTATGTATGTATGTATGTAATGTATGTATGTAATGTATGTATGTATGTAATGTATGTATGTATGTATGTATGTATGTATGTATGTATGTATGTATGTAATGTATGTATGTAATGTATGTATGTAATGTATGTATGTATGTAATGTATGTATGTAATGTATGTATGTAATGTATGTATGTATGTAATGTATGTATGTATGGCATGTATGTATATGTATGTATCTATGTGTGTATGACATGTATGTACAGTATGTATGTAGACTCATGTCTCTGTGTGTACATGACAACGGGGGGAGGAGGAGGGGGGATGGAAGGAGAATTTTACACCTTTATACCCGATCACTGTGCACAGTATATATCTGAACATTTCCCTGATCAATACCCCGGAACATCGATATCTGATCAATACATTTATTAGGGTTCTGTACGCGGAGCCCAAAGAGGACATTACAGAACCAACATACAGAGGTCAGACCGGAAATGATCCCTCTAATGTACAAAGCTTCGTATCAGAGGATCGCCGGCCGGCCGGGAAACTAGAAATCCTTCTAAATGAGGAATATTCGTAGAATGTTACGAATCATATAAAAATGAGACATTTGTCAGAATATTAAAGAGAATAAAGAGGGTGAAATATCCGGAAATACACCACGAATTGTGTCCCCGTTCGCTTCACTTATCGCAGAATAATCGAACATCAATACGAATTATTACAGAATATAGATATAGAGATCCGAGGACTACAAATCATCATCATCATCATCATCAGTCCGGAGTTCTAATATTATTATTAGTAGTATTATTTCCTTGTGTCCGGACTATTGTAACATTGAAGAAGGAAATAATACTACTAATAATAATATTATAGAATGAGTGTTGGGGGCGCAGATATTATACAATAATAATAATAATGATAATAATAATAATAACGGATTAAT